CCTCAAGAACAGCATAATTTACGGGAAAGTACAGTAGACAGTATGGGTCAAACTTAAATGAACTCACCTTTAATCGTAATTCGGCACTAATAACCTCTAGATCCCTCACAGGATCAACCGAGTCATCAACATGTATAATATCAGGATCTTCAAAGGCACCTAAAACAACAGTAAAGTTTTGCAGACATCTCAGAAAAGAGAAAAACCCTAGAAATAAACAAATATGCATAGAGCTCTTCCCCAACTAAAGTTACAGTCATTGCGGTGCTGAACATGATGATGACAAATCGACAGAGAAATCTGAAAGGGATAGTCACTCTCATTTCTTCGATGGATGACTTTATGGCATCAAATACAATAAAAAGTTAACATGTCAAGCCAAAAGTAAAAGGTTGCTCCAACAAACTTTTGTGCTTGTTCTTTTCAGTTATAGCTTTTTAGCATTGACAAAAGTGAAAGACCAAAAGTATACTTTGAGAGAGAAAGGTGAGAGCATAAGATGCTTTTGTCAATGTTTATACTATTTCTGGTAATAACTTCAAACAGAACATTTTCAAGATTGAGAACTTCTAAATACGAAATATAATGAGTCTAAGATTAAGCCAAAAGCTAAAAGCTACAACTAGAACTGAAAAACCATAGCCATCCAACCAAGCTTTAAATTGTTTCACCATATCATCTAGGAAAACGGAGCAAAAACCCTCTCAACTTCTGATATATCACACAAATGTCAAACATAACTCTAGATGAGCAGATCTAAACGAAATTGGACAATAATAAGGAGATGGCCGTGGCCAAGAGAGGATAAAGTCAGATCATTTTGTGCTTTTCCACATTAATTTTGCATTCAATTATTTCTACTGAAGTATCCTGATCATCGAGAACAAAACTAACTGCAAAGTAGCACAAGTGATGTAAGAATCATAATCCAACAACACGTAGTCATGTTCTAAAGAACAAAGATGATGGCAACAAAAGTTCAAGAGTCTTACGAAGAACATGAAAAATCCCATCGACTGCACGGATGTGGGAAAGAAAACTATTGCCCAAGCCTTGACCTTGATGAGCACCTCTGACTAGCCCAGCTATGTCATGGATTTCTAGGAAAGCTGGGACCTGCATAAAATTACAGTTAAAAATCATTTTCAAAAATCTACAATTTAATCTGTCATAGTTATCGAAAAAGATATTGATCCTGAGCCAAAAGGGTAGAGAAGAGGATTGCTGGAAACACGATTTCTTGATCGCACACAAGCACAAATTAAGAATCAGAGTTGAGAATCTCAAATAGTGATTTTTAACAGTCGATAATCCCACAAATGGGACATACCAGTCATCAATAATCCTTCCACAGAAACTATAGTCACAAAAATCTTCAGATTTGAATACAAGTTTGGCATCACTTGTAACCACTCCCCTAACCCCATGCCAAGTGCCAAAGGCCTTGCGATACTCTAAGTAAATTCACTAACTCTCTGTGAAACACATCTCTCATGTAAATGCATAAATGGATGAGCTACCTGATGCATCTGCAACGATTATGATGCAGCAAATAATAATTTTATTGAAAACGGTCATTGATCTTTGCATGGTACATATGTAGCATGCTGGTGCTGCCTCACAAGGCGATCTTAGTCATTTATAAATAGCTTGAGAGAAACTGTTTAATAATGAAAGGTCACTGATGTACTTCTCATCCTGGAGATGCTGATCTGATCCCTGGCAATAACCAGAATCCTCATTGAACTGATAGTGAAACAGCCAACTTTTCACCCAGAGCCGCATCTCATCGGCCAGATATGCCTTAAGAGCCAAGTACATGAGAAAAAGGTTTTGTTTATCTTCTCTCTTTTGTTCAGATAGGACAGAGCAAGTATACATCCTCACACAAGTGCCAAAGCAACAAATCTTACCACAACACCAGTTCCAGTTGAATGCCAAAAGGTTTCGTCCTTCCACAAATTCTTGAAAAAACAAAATTCGAGACTCCCTATATGTTCCAGGCAAGCAAAAAATGTTCTCACTTCTTTACTGGAAAAACATCAGTAGCAACTCACTTGGGCCATCTTATCTAGCCATTCTTCTTTATATTTCCTGAAGATTTACTGAGTCAAACCCGGCAACTACATTCTTATCTAGCCATGATGCTTTATTTGGGTGAGAGACTTAACCTCCCATCCTCCATCAAGTACGAATGTCAAATTGAACAAGATTCTCCAAGGGTTTTTAGCACAAAAAGTTCATCTGACATTCTCCGTGTCATTAAATCAGAAAGAACTACGTTTGTCAAATATGTACTAAAAGATTTGATAGCATCCTCTTAATCAGACTGAGTCTGCTCACGGTCCCCTTCTTAGGGCATTGTAACTTCTCTTCTAACATTTCCAGTTAAACTTAAGCATCAAACGGCTTGGAAACGAAGTGGAATACATCTCCATTGGAAAAGGGATCCGGTTGATACAATTGCCATATGTTGATGCTTGATGATGGTATTATCGGTAATAAGACGTGCAAAAGCTGTAATTGTTTGGCAGGGTCAAACTGTTTGTAGTCTCTAAGTTGAAGCGATGAATTAATTGGCTGGTGGATTCAAGAATGTTCCCACAGTTATAAGTTGCCAGATGTACAGATCTAAAGTGCTCTACACACAGAATCGTTTGTCAAAGATGGTCATGGTATGCCATTCTCCTACCAATAGAATGCCGCATCTTTCGTATGTTAGTTCACTACTCTTTAAATACTCTTGCGCACATCCAGGCTTCCGACTGCACTGCTTTGACCCAATAAGAGTACAGGGAACCTTACACTAATATTACTAGAACTACTGAATGGCAGCTTCACTACGTTGAAAACAGATGCATGAAAACAACACTAAATCAGATGACCAAAGAAAGAAAACCCATGGACCATCCATCAAGAGTATAACAATAATAATTTGTAAGAATCATCATCACATTATAAAAAGTCTGACCAAGAAGCGCACAAAGTAAAGTGACTTGCCTCACTTTTTGGTTTGAACAAATTGCAAAGCCATTCAAACCGCTCATCTGGGATATTCACTCGGGCCTCATTTGGCTCAATGGTGCAAAAGGGGAAATTCTCTGCCGGTATAGCTAATTTTGTGAGGGTATTAAAGAGCGTTGATTTGCCAACATTTGGTAATCCAACCTGATTATAAAACAGCAAAGTAATTCAGCATGACAAGTAATAAAACCCCCTAAAATTCATAAGACGGTATGGTGCAAGAACAAGAGCAACAAGAGTCAAACTATCGTACTAGTATCTAGACTGCAAAATATAACCTCAAGTCCTCAACATCTAAACATTTGTACATTGCATATAAGTATACATAAATATAGACAGTCTTCTACACTTCCAGAGATTCCGAGCTCAAAGAGGGGGAACAAGTCCATAAAAGATAATATCAGCATGTGGATACACAGATCACTTGGTGAAGTCAATGCATCTGAAGAATGACCGAAATTCGAATGCTGCATTCAAGTGTTCATCTTTAATTCTTTTTTCACTCCATGCTGTACAGTCTCGTAAAATAATCCATCCAACAGTTCTATAAGGTAATCCAATCAGGTAGAAGACTTATGTCACATCTTCTATTTCAGAAGCATTAATCATTTAGAAATTAACCGGGGCTACCATTCGACTAGAAAAGAAGCATACTAAAGAAAGGCTTCGGTAAAAAGGAAAGGGGGAGGTGGGCGAAGGGAGGAGCTTTTCGCGAAGATATAATGTGGAGCAGTCCTCCCCGCACCTTCCAACATTCTTAAAACAAAACAAGAACGGAGAACCATCGATAACTTACGGCTGCGGTGAAAAAATGGGCACGAAAAAGTAACGAAACAAACAAACAAACAAAAAACACGGTAAACGCGAGAAACTAACATGCTCATCAACACAGAGGGAACACAGCAGCTCGCCAGAAACGACAACTTCTCATATCCTTAAATCCATGAATCGCAGGTACATTACAGGAAACGAACGAAGATTACGCAATCGTAAGCCGACAGAACAACAAGTCTTCATCCTAGACAATCAAAGTGAAAGCAAAAATAACCTCGTCTTCATCCTAGACAAATAGAAATAAGCATACAAGATCTCTACCGGTCAACAAGTCCTCTTTTTTTTTTTAAGCCCTTCTTATTCTTGTAAGTCCTCTCCTCGGTCTCTACCTCTCTGCTTTTCCTATTTTGGTTCTTCTCGATTCCAAAGCAAAGAGGCCACATTTGTAATGTTTAAGGTTTGGATCCGAACACCATGGCCGAGGAAAGTGAACCGGGGGACCTGGATAGCAAGTTTGCAAAGCCCGAGAGCGCAAGGTAAGCTCGCATACTCCGGCATCGCACTTGGAACACAATGATGGAATCGAACATATCGATGCAGTTGCGCAGAACGGTAAGTACATGTTGTTCTACCGATTAAGTTGAAATTTTGAGGAAAGTCGGTTGACAAATCGACGTGTCTTGTATAAAAATTTCAGGTTAAACAATATCAGGAAGTCCACTTTTGAAGCCCACGCATCTTCAAGGCCCACTGGTACGGAGAACCAGCCTGATAGCTCCTCGGAAAAATGCGAATTCGAAAGCTATACCTGAAACTAGCACGTAAGCCACATACTGCTGAAAAATAGACTCTTAACTTGCGATTTTCTAAGCTCGTTTGAGCCTTTATTTGATTAGGACAACCCGGTTCAAAATCACCGAGAAGAAAATTGAGTCCGAGTGTGGACCGATATGGATCAGGGTCCACGGAGTACCCGCAGATCAAAACTTTAACCGTCGAGCCCGAGATTCTAATACTATAATGTCCCTAATTGTTTAAGTCCATAAGAAACTTCAGTGGAAAAAATGTCATGGAATGACGTAACCCCAACATTTTCAATTAGGGACTGAATTCCGTCATTTTCGGCAATTTTGATTCCTGAGATAATTTTCTGGACAGATACGCAGGCGCAATTCAGACATCAATATGCTCAGAACGCGACATTAAGAAAGAATAACGGTAGTGAGAAGAAAAGGTCACTTGCACTAATCGAACTCTCCAGGGAGCCAACAAAAATCCCCCAATATCATTGTGCACAGCAGCCCTCAAAAGTGGATCTTAACTTGATCACTAAGCACTGGGAGTGTTGCGCGAAAAGCAGGCACATCGCCCGTTAATAGTACAAATCGATATTATTTCAGCGAAGCGAGGAGACCGCCTAACCAACCTCAAAGCAATCATCAGGACTGAAAATGAGTGAAGAAGCAAATGCAGCATGTTTCACTTCTTGCCACCACCAGAAACATTGAATTTGAAGAATATGATGTCTCCATCTTGGACAACGTAGGTTTTTCCCTCCTGTTTGTACTTCCCTGCAGCCTGCAATTTATCAGAGGAAAACTTACATATCAACATCCAACTGCAGCTTGATACGTTGGGCCAGATTCGTAAATAATTTATATTGCATTACCCAACTCTAACTTGATTAGGCTTAATAAGAACATAAAAGTCCCATCCCGGTCAGGTAAAGCTCATGTAGGCCATATTCCAAGAAGGGAGAAGAAAAAGGAAAATCGTGCATGGGTTTGGGCGCTTGTTTGCGTGCTCTTGTATGCTTAACACTATCAAGATCTTGATTCAGACAGATGGCGCCTGACTTATTGAAGGTGACCAATTTAAGGAACAACAAAAAAAATATGGGCTCCTCCGATTTCAACGGCTATTTATCCAGAAATTTTTTTTCTATGCCCTTGACTATCATGTAACCCTGCTTTCGTGTTTGTTAGCGTGTGCTTCACAAATGTCATAGCTTTTAAGTCTCGCGACTCCTAACAGGACTATCATCCATGCTATGGAAAATTTTCAGAAGGTGACAGGAGATGACTAAAGATGCAACCATAAGACATAACAAACCAGGTTACCTTGACAGCTGATTCAGTCCCAAGTTCTTTCAGATCATCAAACTTCATGACCTGCAAGATTATGAAATTCAGAGAACATAAGTGCCCTTCTCATCTGTTTTAGAAGACTTGACATACTTTTATCACTATAGACAAAGGTTGCAATACATTTCATTCTTTCTAACTCTAAGCCATCCATTTCTGTCTTTTTTCCCTGTTTCTATCCTATTAAACTGGGTTGAGATTTGGGCTCGCAATCAAAAGTATTTAAGTAAAGTCCCCCTTTACATCCTATACCGTTTCCCTTGTGAATTTAAAGTTAAAAAGATTACCTTGCTGCATAGAGAACTAACATGATGGGTCCTATCTAACCAGCAGCCACAAAAGTAAAAGGCAAAAAGCAGAAGGCTCCAGCTTAAGAATACACCGTTGAGAACAAAAATAAAAAATTTTGACAGCTAAACTTTATGCTCCTCCAGACTCGAATAAATTTCAAAGGTAAACAAAACCAGTGTACTCTCCTTTTTAGTTACTTCAAACTTTTTCGTCAGCCTGTCCATTATTCATACAGAGTCCACAGTACATATTTCTTGCATGAAGGATTTTCGTACTTTCGCTGGGATACTAGTATGTATTCTTCTTGTTCGTAAAGTAAATCGCAGTAATCATCTGAGGATTGGTTGGTAGGTTAAATGAAGACATGGAAAAGAAAAGGACTGGATATTCTTGCAAGTAAGGAGAAAGAACTACCTCAGCACAGATGAACCCTCTTTCAAAATCAGTATGAATAGTCCCAGCAGCTTGAGGAGCCTTTGTCTGTCTTCTGATCTGCCAGCACTTGACCTTCAAAAGCGAACATCATAGTTTCATGCCACATATAGCGAATGCAAAAATAGGAACTGCATAACTAAGGTAGATGGCAGGAAAACTAGAACTGCAAGAAGGCAGAAAAACTCAAAGCCTTTTGGCATCCACATGTTTGGCCTGCTTAAGAAAATGGTAAGTCTTAAAGATGAAAGGTGGACCGATTCCTGTGCCTTCAGATTCGTACAGCACCAGTCCATGAAAACTATCCCCATTATCTTTCCTAAAACTGCTATCCCAACAAAGAAAGCAACCTTAGCCATCCGACCACTTTTATCTTGTATGTCCAATCACGCAAGACGACAACACCTGGAGTGGTATCAACACCACCAGAAACAAGTAGAGAGCACCTTAACGCTGTGTTTGGAAGGATTCTTTTGGTGGGTAAAGAAAATTAAGGTGAAGAAACAGAAGGAGAAGAAAGAATTTCTTTGATGTTGTTTTGGAAGGGGTAGAAAGTAAAAGTGAAGAAAGTGTTGGATATGAAAGTACTTTATTTAGGAAAAAACAAAAAAAAGAAGGAAATGACAATTATCCTTAAAAAAAACTACCACAAAAGTTATTGAATTAAATTGTGGGTCAAAGGCAAGGGCAAATATGTCATCTGGCTTCAATTCGCCTCCTTTTCTCTCAAATTTGGGGAGAACCAAATTTGATGGGCCCCAGAGAAACGAAATCCCTAACCACTTCACATTTAAGTTGGGCCAGCCTTTTCTGGGGATTTATCTGTTAACTTTTCCACTATCACCCAATGGGCTCGTAAAATTCACTAGGATAAGCAGTATTATCGAACCAGAAAAAGCAATCTTTAATAACTTTATTCAAACAGTGATCTCCATGTTTTCAAATCCACGGCCAAGTCCTTATTACTTCTTGGGTTGCAGTATCCACCTTATCTGTTCCCAAGAGTACCCTAACCAAAAACCCAGCTTTTTCAATGTTTCCCAAACAAAAGAGAGTCCCAATACTTCAGCCTATTCTTTCTGCATCTTTTCTCTCCCTACCCACTCTACCCTTGCAAAACAAAGGCTAAAAGGGAAAAAAAAAACAAAGATCAACAAGCAGCTAAGGAGAATTTACATAGACCATCCATTTTCCAGAAATAGCTCTTGCTAATAGATGCAACTGTATCACCGAATAGAGGGAAAAGCTTCCATTGTCACGCACAATTCAAGACCATACGGATGCCCCTGGATTACAAACTTATCAATCTTAAAACCACAAACAAACCTCCTTAATATTTAATCCTTCTAAATAGTCCTCGTATATATCCTCGAATATACCCACTTTTCAACGCCAAACTTTGGTTAATGCACCACCTGTCAGAATATCATCACCCTGGATACTCTCAAGTAGGTGCATGCTGTTATATCCCACTATGTCCCAGATTTTCATGCCCAACTTTAGCCACTCAACCACCATTGCCAAAAGAAGATCCATCTGGACTCTCTCTTCGGAAATTATCTAAGCTAGTATATAAGAAAATCTCCCATTTCTTCCTAAACTTCCTCAAGTTCCTTGAGCCTCCTCCTCTGCACATTTTTCCCTTCTGTTCCATAGCTGCTCAAGCTAGATAAGATCTCCGTACAACTCAAGGTACCACATAAGATAAAAGCAGGCACTCCGTTTCGTGAAACTAAAAGAGATCATAGTCAACCAAGATCTTATTGATGCCCTGCTTCTTCCAAGAAATATCCCTCCTAGCTATACACACTCATATGCCAGAAGCCACCAAAACCTAAATTTGTAGACCAAAACATCATAAAGAACCCCAGCATGAACTGAACTCATCACCAAGTTGTTTCTTATCAAGGAGGCCACCCAGCAACAGATATGGACATAATTGTAAAAGTATGTATCTAGTGATCGTCAACCACGTGTAACTCCAGAAGCTAATCTAATTCAACAACATGCAACTTTTACAGATGACAGCTTTGTCAATTCTCTAATTGACTTGAATTGAAGTCTTCAAATACTTTTGTTTGTGTTTAATGTTGGTCTGTTTATTCACTTACCTCATCAGGGCCAGCTGTGAAAAAGTATATCAAATTGATCGCTGAAAATCCTGTCTTTATTATCTTCGTAAGAGCACTGCAAAAAAAAAAAAAAACAAGACTTCAGATCCAAATTTCTAAATTTATTCATGATGGGCTTGCCAAAGAAAAGGTCAAAGTCAAAAAACACACGAAAAATCTAGTAACATAGTATCAACAGCTAGTGAACGTGACACAAGACACTACTTCATTGAAAGAAAAATTAAGAATCAACAAAGAAAGAGGGGTTGAAGCCACTGGCGTTTTGTGAATCATGTGCTATAAAAATTCTCTCATATTGCCAACAAAAATCAGTCCCTGTTAAGCTACAAAACGCCACAATCCAGAGATCATAGGTCATGAATGATCGCAATGAACGAAGAACAAAAGTTTCTTCCTTTGCTTGGGACTCGGAAGGATGTGGGACAAGCATTTGTACTCTAGATTATGCAAATGAGGGGAATGGCAACCAGACACTGTCAAATAACATTTTGTACTGGAGTGGAAGAATAACCACCAATTGGTGAAGCTGTTTAGGATTGATCTAATTTTTCTCTTATAATTTTCCCAAAAGAGGAATTCATAACTGTGGCAAGGAAAAGGGATTGAGATTAGCATTTAATAAGATGGATCGAAAGGAAGACAGAGAAAGGAAAGCATATCATGAGAGAGAGACTATTCCAAGGAAAGGGGATCGAGCACCAACGTAGACATCAATTAGCTAGCCAACAACCCATAACATAAGTTCTACAGAACAGTCAATAACACTACTCAGGTCAATATACATCAATGTCAAATTCCAAATGAGTAAAAAAGAAGAAAGGGAAATCATCAAGAAAAGAATGCAGAAGGGACCAGGCAGCATATTTGAAACCATTGTTGCAATTTAATCTTCTCAGAACTCTCCTAGTTCTCGCAGATAAACTATCAGGAGACACTTTGATCATTAATTCAGGGCTCGAAATTTCGCAGTGGAATTATGCATCAACAGAATGGTTAAAAAGTACTTAGACTCTGCCACTTTCTGTATTTTGCTCCTTCAAATTACAGGTAAGAATGCAGTTCAGATTAGTTTAAGAGAGCAGTAACATCTGATACTTGAACATAGAGTAACGGTAAGCACATATTAGGTACACAATATTGCTTGTACCACCAGCGATTCCATCACCATAGCCAAGAAAAACTTTGTTCAACTTCATCATTTCAGAAGGCATATGTCCTAATCAGGAGCAAAGAAACTCACCATTGCACCTTGTTTTCCTCACAGTATTTTGCAGCTTCATCTGCTGGCATATCAGCAAGGTTTCTCTCCAAGGCACAGCTGAAAGGAATAATTGTTTCACCTCCATGCTCCTGCACCCTGCAAAGCAATGAAGCTTGCTACAATAGGACCAGACTAGAATGCCCGTCTACAATCCACAGGCAGCAGAAAGTAGGAGCTATCACATATATTGACCAATACAAAAGAAAAAAAATGCACCAATCACAGATAACAACAGCAAATTGAGAGAGAGAGAGAGAGAGAGAGAGAGAGAGAGAGAGAGAGAGAGAGAGAGGAGGGGGAGAAGGTGAAGGGATAAAGTATTGCAAATAAAAAAGAAACTCACAAATCTTTTGGGCTTAGAGACCCAAATTTGAACTCAAAAGATGGTGAACATACCAAGCATGAATCTTGGGCAAAAACTTGTTCTTCTTTCTCTGATAATCTTTTTCATTCATATTAACCTGGCAGCACACAGAGACATGATCAAGAGTCAAACATGAGGAAAACCACAGCTGGAGAGCAGCATCTGCTTGAGGGTCCACCTCATATAAAACAATTATCCACGAAAATTTCAGCTGTCTATATACCCAAGATATCTTGCTAAAAAGTTAAATGAAGAAATTAATTAAGAAGAATTGTCTTTGGATCTTAGTAGGAGCTTTGCGAGTAATAGAGTAAGAGAATTCAAGTTTCACTTGACCAGAGGGTGACATGGCCTACAACTTTACTCTTACCTCATGAAGACAGTTTGATCTCTTTTAATTGTAGAACTGCATGTGGGCTTTGCACACCACCAATGCAGTGATTAAAAAAGCAACCACCAAAAGAACTATGGAATATATGCCATGCGTGCATTAGTCTCTTCATTGGTTGTGAAACATAATGAGTCATCGTGTCTCCCCGCTGCTAAGGCCACGATATCTGTAGAATTAAAACTCACCAAGTAGACAACTGGCTTTGCTGTAAGCAGTTGAAAGGTATTCAATATCTCAATATCAGCAGCTTTCCACTCTCCAAGACGAACATCTTTTTCATCTTTTTCATCCTCCAGCCATGCCTTGATCCGTCAAGAAGAGCATTGGTTTACTTTAGATATTTGCAACATCTCAATTGAACATAAAGTGGTTCTAAACTGACACTCACAAGCTGTCCATCGCAAATAATGAAATCAGCATTTAGTCACAAGTTAAAGCTAAGGGCAGAAACATGTGGGAAAATACAATTGCCCTTAACTAATCCTGCAGCCATGCAACCTTCTAATTTCGGCCATCAGGCTCCATATTTTCACCCATTCTTGTACAATGAGATTTATGCTCAACAAATTTCACATGCTTTATACATCTCGTGTTAAACTTTACCCTATTAGGCTTACTAATGACTGGCGTGAAGATTGATGAAGCCATCATAGACAGACTCATTGAAAATCAGAATGCAATTGTCAAAAAATGAGCTAATAGTAATTGGAGGATTCCCATAATTTTAGCCAATATAATCTAACATCAATGTTCAAGAGAAAAGGAAAACTGTTAATACTTCAGCATCCTCTGGTGAAACAAAAGTAGGTAAACCAGTTCTTGTGAATAAGATGCGTAGCCAAAGTTGAGTTAAATCAGAAAGATTGATGAAGCTATTTAGGTGGACTACTTGAAAGTCAGGAATTTTAAAGTCACGAAAACTGAAAGGTTTTCTATAAATTTAGCTAATATAATCCCCAAGAATGTCAAGTAACATATCCAAAAAATGGAAAAGTTTTAATACTCCAGCATCCTTTTACTAAAATAATGTCTCGGTAAACCAGTCACTTGCAAAGAGGATGCATAGCCTAACTAAAATTCACATCCACCAACAATACAATCCCCCTCCCCATCTCTACTATTTCACCTGAACCCGCCAAAACCCAAAAAAGGAAAAAACCCACCCCTACCATCTAATAAGGAAGAACCTCTCGACCTTACTACTGTAAGATATCGTGCAAAATGTAATAGCTATGCTCTACTTTTTTACCAAGATAAGATTTTAAAGCAAAGGGGCCAAACCAGGGCATCAAATCATATCCTGGAGAACCTACAAGAGATTATTCCTCACAAAAATGCATAAAGTATAAAAAATGCCAAAACACAATTTGGTATGCAGATCAAGGACAAGCTGACAATACAAATCAACATCTGATAGTTGTAGGGAATATTTCCCACATCAACTGCAACTGAGAAGATTCGAGGAAGCTAGATTATCACCAACAGAGAATTCCAGTTTCAAGCAGAATATTAGAGCCGAAAATTTTTTACAACTTTATTTCTAATACAAAGAGCAAACAAATATCATGCCAAACAAGAACTAAAAGCAGCTCCTGGTCCTTTAAGCTCCAATAAAGCCATTTCCCAGTAGATAGAGAAAACCACGTCAAATATCTTGTGTCATCAAGCTTGATTTAAAACCAAGCTCCTCCAAACGCCAAATATTGGAATCCTCTCTTAAAGTTGTTATCTGTTCTTCACAAATCCAATGAGCCAACTGTTTAACTTCAAACCAATTAGCACTTCTAGCCATATATCCTATTCTTAGTCTAGCATTCTTTCTGGAAGGCACTTCCAAAAATCGCACAACAATTTTATGAAAAATTTGCTGTATGCCTTTTCCACATGATTGCTTCTGTAAAGCACATTCTATGTACAAAGTACTGAAAATTCAAAAATATGTTATTTTTAGTCTAACATCTTTTCCTAGAGGCACTTCCAAAAATTGCACAACAATGTTATGAAAACCTATGCCTTTTCTACGTGATTGCCTCTGTAGAGCACATTCTCTGCCCAAAGTACAGAAAATTCAAATACATAAGGAAGCCGATTAGAGTTATCATCATTTTACTAGTAACAGTGAAAAACACATAAAGAAGAAGAAGAAGAAGCTAAGTAACTGAAAAAGCTTTTTGCTACTTGAGAGGGTTGCATTTTTACATCCTCTGTCATAATTCTCAACAATAACAACAAATATTAATGAGATGCAGGAAATAAGAACAGAAATTGAGGAAAGATACAAATATGAGCAACTCAAACCATTTCAAATCAACTGACAAAGCAGTTAATATGACATACATCTATCGTTGCCAACATTTCAGATTCACAAAGGACTAACACAGAGCACTGAAATATCACATCAATACAAAATAGGAACTACAGAAGAAAATTTGCCTGTTCAGATAATTGGGAAAAAGAAAAAGTAAAGCCATACCTTCATACAGCATTCATGCTCAATCTTTAATTGCTTGTCATTGCTCCTCTTCATGCTCTTCTCCAAATCCTCTATCTTTCTCTCCATGAATTCAACATCCTTCATAACACCATCTTGATTGGTTCAGGAAAAATAATAAATATTGAACCACCACAACAGAGCCATGGTGGCAAGAAGCATAATGAAGCAAATAAAATCTGATGAAATCTTTATCCTCTAATAACTGTGGTTCCCAATACAAGACAGGTATTACCAATTTAGCATCAGAGGAACTTCTTCAGTTTATCTCATTATGTTTTACTATTGAAAGCCAGAGAAGGCTTATTGACCAAAAAAATGTCCATATGGATTACGCCACATAAATAAATCATCTTGTATGATCATGCTACTGAAAATCTATTGAAAAGTAGGAAAAACACATGGGACTCTCCATACCAGAATGCCGCACCTGGCTATTTATTTTTGTATTGAAAGGATAAAGAAGGCAGCCTCTGCTGCTGCTTAAAGCCACATGCAAGTTTCCACTATAGCAAAAATGTATAACTTAAAGCCAATTTCAATGAAGAAACGGAAGATTCGTACTCAATCAAAAGGTCTCTTCTTTCACTCCTATAGAGAGAGGGATTGATGTAATCCTTCTTTTCTTATTGCACTGCAAATGAATCCCCAGCTTCTTTAATTATTTAAGTCTAACAACACAGAATAAATCACCAATTTATCACGCTTCTAAAATTCAGGAGTTGGATTTATACATGATCTCCCTCCCTCCCTCCCTCCGTCTCTCTGATGCAGCCAACAAAATCAAACAACCTGACCTTTGTCAATTATCGATGTTCTACTTGAATAATTAGTCCTATCAATTCGGATTTCTGTACTATTAGGATTCAATAAATTTCCTTTAGCATTTGGAATAGGATAAATCACATCCTCTACAACTAAGCAAATTGCATATAGCTGCTGGTATTCCCTATTCTACAACATACAAGGCCATATTTTAGTGCCCACCTTATGTGGAATTGACAAAGCTGACTGCGATGCAAGTGCAGTGAAGCACATATGCGCCTGACAGGAAGGACCTAGGGAAGTGAACCTGTATCTCTTAATGAAGCAACTCTTTAAAGAGCCTTGACCAACTGGAAAAATCAATGGATTATGATGGATATCCATCAACAGATGCAGAAGTACATTCCTTTAACTTATAGCTGAGTAAAAGAGATGGCTTGAGAAAAGATGTTTAGCTAGTTAGATATTTGTCAAGGTTGAATCATGAAACCCAAGCAGGCCCCAATGACTTGGTGATTTTTTGCAAACACATGCTCTTGAAATAACCTTGTAAACACAAGCATACTTGGAACACTACCCTCTTTAAATGTAACTACTCATCTAATTATCTTGCAAATTGCTTTCATTTCCCATGCCCGGCGGACGATACGCTAATTAAAATGATTTCAAACCAAATGACCCGAAGAATGCTTATCTTGATTAGGTTCACTCAGGTCCAAACTTTCTGTCAAGCCATCGGAACCTGTAACATCCAATGCCTGTTCTTTTTAACGTGCAAGGCCACAAATTCACAGGCTTTTATAGAATCTTAATATGCTAAGGGCCATTCCCAAAGTGCACTTACCCTGTACGGAAATATTTGACCTAATAAATGGGAAAAAGAATGAGCGGTAGATCTCCTATGCATTTATTGGAAATAGGCTAAACATGGCATTGTCCTGATCCTCCATATATTGACCATAGTCGTCCAACATAGAGAAACAGTTAACGTGCTGTGACATATGGAGATCCTTCTTACAAGTCCACATCAAGATCCCTTTATAAGCGCCGCTATGCATGGATGTAGATCCAGAGACCACTGATTGAATTCCTGAGACTCCAATTTCTTGAGAACATGCAGTGGCAATTCTCGTAGTCAGCTAATTCGAGAAGCCGCAAAGAGAGGTCATCCCTCTTAGAAGTTACAAAATGCGGAGGGAGAGGAGAGCAAGATAATTTATAGGGTATACAGTGATTGTACTAGTTAAGGACCTCGGTCTCCTTTCCGTTAACTTTTTTCTTCAATCATACTATGTTAGATATCGAATATCATGCCTCGTAAATGACTTTCCTATAGGGGTCAGCACCCCCTCATGGCCACTCTAATGAAATTATTTTGAAGCAGGATCCTCTCCTCCCAACTTACTACACAAGCATCATTATGGTTGCAGGAACCAGGAAGGCCAAAAGACATCATGCCCATAGCAAAAATCCAATCCTCAAGAACAGCATAATTTACGGGAAAGTACAGTAGACAGTATGGGTCAAACTTAAATGAACTCACCTTTAATCGTAATTCGGCACTAATAACCTCTAGATCCCTCACAGGATCAACCGAGTCATCAACATGTATAATATCAGGATCTTCAAAGGCACCTAAAACAACAGTAAAGTTTTGCAGACATCTCAGAAAAGAGAAAAACCCTAGAAATAAACAAATATGCATAGAGCTCTTCCCCAACTAAAGTTACAGTCATTGCGGTGCTGAACATGATGATGACAAATCGACAGAGAAATCTGAAAGGGATAGTCACTCTCATTTCTTCGATGGATGACTTTATGGCATCAAATACAATAAAAAGTTAACATGTCAAGCCAAAAGTAAAAGGTTGCTCGAACAAACTTTTGTGCTTGTTCTTTTCAGTTATCGCTTTTTAGCATTGACAAAAGTGAAAGACCAAAAGTATACTTTGAGAGAGAAAGGTGAGAGCATAAGATGCTTTTGTCAATGTTTATACTATTTCTGGTAATAACTTCAAACAGAACATTTTCAAGATCGAGAACTTCTAAATACGAAATATAATGAGTCTAAGATTAAGCCAAAAGCTAAAAGCTACAACTAGAACTGAAAAACCATAGCCATCCAACCAAGCTTTAAATTGTTTCACCATATCATCTAGGAAAACGGAGCAAAAACACCCTCGACTTCTGATATATCACACAAATGTCAAACATAACTCTAGATGAACAGATCTAAACGAAATTGGACAATAATAAGGAGATGGCCGTGGCCAAGAGAGGATAAAGTCAGATCATTTTGTGCTTTTCCACATTAATTTTGCATTCAATTATTTCTACTGAAGTATCCTGATCATCGAGAACAAAACTAACTGCAAAGTAGTACAAGTGATGTAAGAATCATAATCCAACAACACGTAGTCATGTTCTAAAGAACAAAGATGATGGCAACAAAAGTTCAAGAGTCTTACGAAGAACATGAAAAATCCCATCGACTGCACGGATGTGGGAAAGAAAACTATTGCCCAAGCCTTGACCTTGATGAGCACCTCTGACTAGCCCAGCTATATCATGGATTTCTAGGAAAGCTGGGACCTGCATAAAATTACAGTTAAAAATCATTTTCAAAAATCTACAATTTAATCTGTCATAGTTATCGAAAAAGATATTGATCCCGAGCCAAAAGGGTAGAGAAGAGGATTGCTGGAAACACGATTTCTTGATCGCAAACAAGCACAAATTAAGAATCAGAGTTGAGAATCTCAAATAGTGATTTTTAACAGTCAATAATCCCACAAAGGGGACATACCAGTCATCAATAATCCTTCCACAGAAACTATAGTCACAAAAATCTTCAGATTTGAATACAAGTTTGGCATCACTTGTAACCACTCCCCTAACCCCATGCCAAGTGCCAAAGGCCTTGCGATACTCTAAGTAAATTCACTAACTCTCTGTGAAACACATCTCTCATGTAAATGCATAAATGGATGAGCTACCTGATGCATCTGCAACGATTATGATGCAGCAAATAATAATTTTATTGAAAACGGTCATTGATCTTTGCATGGCACATATGTAGCATGCTGGTGCTGCCTCACAAGGCGATCTTAGTCGTTTATAAATAGCTTGAGAGAAACTGTTTAATAATGAAAGGTCACTGATGTACTTCTCATCCTGGAGATGCTGATCTGATCCCTGGCAATAACCAGAATCCTCATTGAACTGATAGTGAAACAGCCAACTTTTCACCCAGAGCCGCATCTCATTGCCCAGATATGCCTTAAGAGCCAAGTACATGAGAAAAAGGTTTTGTTTATCTTCTCTCTTTTGTTCAGATAGGACAGAGCAAGTATACATCCTCACCCAAGTGCCAAAGCAACAAATCTTACCACAACACCAGTTCCAGTTGAATGCCAAAAGGTTTCGTCCTTCCACAAATTCTTGAAAAAAAAAAATTCGAGACTCCCTATATGTTCCAGGCAAGCAAAAAATGTTCTCACTTCTTTACTGGAAAAACATCAGTAGCAACTCACTTGGGCCATCTTATCTAGCCATTCTTCTTTATATTTCCCGAAGATTTACTGAGTCAAACCCGGCAACTACATTCTTATCTAGCCATGATGCTTTATTTGGGTGAGAGACTTAACCTCCCATCCTCCATCAAGTACGTATGTCAAATTGAACAAGATTCTCCAACGGTTTTTAGCACAAAAAGTTCATCTGACATTCTCCGTGTCATTAAATCAGAAAGAACTACGTTTGTCAAATATGTACTAAAAGATTTGATAGCATCCTCTTAATCAGACTGAGTCTGCTCATGGTCCCCTTCTTAGGGCATTGTAACTTCTCTTCTAACATTTCCAGTTAAACTTAAGCATCAAACTGCTTGGAAACAAAGTGGAATACATCTCCATTGGAAAAGGGATCCGGTTGATACAATTGCCATATGTTGATGCTTGATGATGGTATTATCAGTAATAAGACGTGCAAAAGCTGTAATTGTTTGGCAGGGTCAAACCGTTTGTAGTCTCCAAGTTGAAGCGATGAATTAATTGGCTGGTGGATTCAAGAATGTTCCCACAGTTATAAGTTGCCAGATGTACAGATCTAAAGTGCTCTATACACAGAATCGTTTGTCAAAGATGGTCATGGTATGCCATTCTCCTACCAATAGAATGCCACATCTTTCGTATGTTAGTTCACTACTCTTTAAATACTCTTGCGCACATCCAGGCTTCCGACTGCACTGCTTTGACCCAATAAGAGTACAGGGAACCTTTCACTAATATTACTAGAACTACTGAATGGCAGCTTCACTACGTTGAAAACAGATGCATGAAAACAACACTAAATCAGATGACCAAAGAAAGAAAACCCATGGACCATCCATCAAGAGTATAACAATAATAATTTGTAAGAATCATCATCACATTATAAAAAGTCTGACCAAGAAGCGCACAAAGTAAAGTGACTTGCCTCACTTTTTGGTTTGAACAAATTGCAAAGCCATTCAAACCGCTCATCTGGGATATTCACTCGGGCCTCATTTGGCTCAATGGTGCAAAAGGGGAAATTCTCTGCCGGTATAGCTAATTTTGTGAGGGTATTAAAGAGCGTTGATTTGCCAACATTTGGTAATCCAACCTGATTATAAAACAGCAAAGTAATTCAGCATGACAAGTAATAAAACCCCCTAAAATTCATAAGACGGTAGGGTGCAAGAACAAGAGCAACAAGAGTCAAACTATCGTACTAGTATCTAGACTGCAAAATATAACCTCAGGTCCTCAACATCTAAACATTTGTACATCGCATATAAGTATACATAAATATAGACAGTCTTCTACACTTCCAGAGATTCCGAGCTCAAATTGCTTATACAGTTAAAGGGGGAACAAGTCCATAAAAGATAATATCAGCATGTGGATACACAGATCACTTGGTGAAGTCGATGCATCTGAAGAATGACCGAAATTCGAATGCTGCATTCAAGTGTTCATCTTTAATTCTTTTTTCACTCCATGCTGTATAGTCTCGTAAAATAATCCATCCAACAGTTCTATAAGGTAATCCAATCAGGTAGAAGACTTATGTCACATCTTCTATTTCAGAAGCATTAATCATTTAGAAATTATCCGGGGCTACCATTGGACTAGAAAAGAAGCATACTAAAGAAAGAAAAGAAGCATACTAAAGAAAGGCTTGGGTAAAAAGGAAAGGGGAGGTGGGCGAGGGGAGGAGCTTTTCGCGAAGATATAATGTGGAGCAGTCCTCCCCACACCTTTCCAACATTCTTAAAACAAAACAAGAACGGAGAACCATCGATAACTTACGGCTGCGGTGAAAAAATCGGCACGAAAAAGTAATGAAACAAACAAACAAACAAAAAACACGGTAAACGCGAGAAACTGACATGCTCATCAACACAGAGGGAACACAGCAGCTCGCCAAAAATGACAACTTCTCATATCCTTAAATCCACGAATCGCAGGTACATTACAGGAAACGAACGAAGATTACGCAATCATAAGCCGACAGAACAACAGAAGAACAAAAGCAAGGACGAGAGATCCTCCGTCAAACCGGATCACGGAGAAATCACATGCAACGGGCGACCTCTCAGCTACAAATCAATGGCGAATCTCCGTTCAACACGACATCGAAGAACGCAAAGAAGAGGGAAAGAGGAGGGAGGCGTACGATGCCGATCTTGAGGTGAGACGAGAACCGGCCGAGGATCGGCCTCTCCACCGGCGCTTCCTTCGATTTCGCGGCTTTCGGCGGCATTTCCGGTCAGGCAGCGAAGCGAAAAGAAACGAAGCTCCAAGAGAGAGAGAGTTATCGAGGGTTTTACGAGAGAGGCGCACCACGCATCACAAGAATGAAGATACCGTGTTGCGGTCTCGAGCCCCACTGAGCCGCTGCGTCGGCTGGACGCGGTATATATATATATATAATCGTTTACATTCTCTAAAATTCCACATAAAATATATATATTTGATAAAAATAATTAAAAGAGATTCCCGCGAATTAATTTTCCGGAATTTCAAAATTAGTTAGTCGACGGAAAAACATTCTTACGGCAAAAGGAAAAACCTGCACTTAAACAAATTAGAAAATTATTTTCCACGAGTATAACGAATCTCTTAATGAATGTTCACTTCTTCAATATCTATCATTTCAAATGACATGGATAGTTCATGAACTTTGGCTCAATATGCAATGTGATCCATTAATTTTTAATTTATTCAATGTCGGGGACTAAGTTAAATAAGTAGCAAAAGTTAGGGATCATATCGATCAAACTAAAAGTTTAAGAACCACATTACATATTGGGCCAAAGTTTAAGAATTATGTTGAATAAATTAAAAGTTCAAGAGCCACATTATACATTGGGTCGATGTTCAAGGACAATTTGTGTCATTTTCCTTTTTCAAATGAGATCCAAGTACTCGAGAATTTACATTGTATTAATATATAGCCAAACAAATTGAAACTACCTTACTCGAAAAATGATTTTCACGAAATACGTTTTTTAAAATGGATTTTTTCACGAAATAAACATAATCAAGCACGCTCTTTTCTATTGTTAGATTCATCATTAATTATTCATTCAATATTATTTGTAAATCCAACGAAATAAAGACAATTAAAAATAAATTTGCTTGTACCAACAGCACGTGAGCACATCTATCGCTTATGTTATTTTACACTCCAAAGAATTAGAGTATAATTGATTGAATTTTTCATTATGCCTATCTTTTTTTCAATTTCTCCAAAATTCGATGGTCAAAGAACGATCAAGTTTCACAGACTCATGTCATTCAAATTATCAAAGATTTATCTAGGTACTCCATTGAGTAAGATTAGACGTGTCTAGAAAAGTTCGCATATTCATTCTAGGAAGATAAATTCAAGAAACAATAAGCGTGACAATTTACATCAAATTTTGAAAATAAAGGAAAAGAATTGTTCATTTGATCACAATGCTCTTAGTAAGAGGAGTTATTCCTTTTCTTTGGAAAGAGCGAACTATTCATTAAACTTTGATTTTGAACTCGCTAGCCAAAATACAAAAAGAAAAAAATTCATGTGAAAATAATTTTTACACATGGCTGTTTAGATCCTCCGTGTAATCAATATCATGTAATTTTTTGAGTTTTAAAGTATAAAGTTCAAGTCTTATAGGAATATAAATTTAAAAGATTGAAGTTTCAAAGAAAAATGCCGAAAAAAAATGAAGAATAGATTAAACTGTATTTTTCTGATATCCAAAGTAAAAATTTCAAAAAAACATAAAAACATTGGGCCTTGCCACCATTGGCCCAATGCAGTCAATGGTGTCATCTTGGACGGGGTTATGGAAAGTGACACGGGGCACACGTTTGCAAGGACTTGATTGACGTATAGAAATCTTAATTGTTGCCATATGTCTTTACCATATGACGAGAATCAAACAAGAGTTGTATAAAAAATACCAACATTGTAAATTTCAACAAATACATGAAAAGAACAATAAATAATTAATCAAACTACATTACACCGGTTAAACTTAATTCTCTTACCAAGAAATTTGAAGATCCTAAAACTCAAACAACTTTATGGAGGCAATATATCGATGAAAGATCTTGCATGAGCGAAAAATGAAACACTAGGAACGTGTTAGGGAAAATGACACAAATGATTAATGAACTTTAGCCAAATGTGCAATATGGTCACTAAACTTTTAATTTGTTCAATGTAATCCACGACCTTCAACCCAATGTGCAATGTAGTTCCTGTTTAAGAGGATAAAGATGTTTCTTATTATGTTTTAATGAGGGATTACAATATATATATACTTAACATAACCGTAAACCCCTCTAAACACAATATTACAATTCTACCCTTATTATCATAATTCTAACACTCCCCCTCAAGTTGGGACATAGATATCAAGTAGTCCCAACTTGTTACATAAAAAATCCACTCTATTCCCTCGTAAGGATTTTGTAAAAATATCTGCCAGTTGATCCTCTATCCTTGCATGTTGAAGAATGATCTCCCCCTTATGGACCTTCTCTCGTATAAAGTGACAATCAACCTCAATATGTTTGGTTCGCTCATGGAAGACAGGATTGTTCGCAATATGGATGGTTGATTGATTATCACAATATAATGTTGATGGATCTGATGTTGACACACCGATTTCTGACAATAACATCCTCAACCAGATCAATTCACCTGTCACATGTGCCATAACTCTATATTCTGCTTCAGCACTCGACCGGGAAACCACATGTTGTTTCTTACTTTTCCAGGAAACTAAATTACCTTCAAGAAATACGCAATACCCTGATGTAGATCTCCTATCAATAGGACATCTGGCCCAGTCTGCGTCAGAGAATCCTGTAGTTTTTAGATGAACATAATTCTTGAAAAGTAGTCCTTTACCTGGTGTTCCTTTCAAGTACTTAATAATTCGCAGTACAGCATTCCAGTGAGTAGTACGAGGGGAACTCATAAACTGACTCACTACACTCACAGCAAATGATATATCAGGCCTTGTAACAGTAAGGTAATTCAACTTACCCACGAATCTTCGATATTTCACTGGATCATGTAACGGTTCTCCATTTTCTGCATCAAGTTTCACATTAGGTTCCATAGGTATATCAACTAGTTTTGCTCCAAGAAATCCGACCTCATTAAGAATATCAATCACATATTTTCGTTGTGATAAATTGATGCCTGCTTGTGAGTAGGCAACTTCAATTCCAAGAAAATATCGTAGAACGTCCCAGATCTTTAGTATTAAATTTTGTATGCAAAAACTGCTTAAGTTGTTGAATACCAACCGAATCACTACCAGTGATAATAATATCATCCACATATACCACCAAAAGAACACAACCAGTTGAGGAAACAGAACTAAATACTGAATGATATACTTGACATTGTTTTAACCCAAACTTGATAACTGCATCAGTGAATTTACCAAACCAAGCACGAGGAGACTGTTTGAGTCCATATAAGGCCTTACGTAAACGACATACCAGATTTTTCCCCTGAGCAACAAACCCAGGTGGTTGCTCCATATATACTTCTTCAGCCAAATCACCATGTAAGAAGGCATTTTTGACATCCAATTGATGAAGATGCCAACCAAAGTGTGCGGCTAGGGAAATAAGAACACGAACAGATAGAATTTTGGCGACAGGTGAGAAAGTATCATCATAATCAATACCATATGTCTGAGTATATCCTTTGGCAACTAACCGAGCTTTCAATCGATCGAGAGAACCATCAGGATGAACCTTAACAGTGAAAACCCAACGACAACCAACATGTTGTTTGCCTGTAGGTAATGATGTGAGCTGCCAAGTACGATTCTCAAGAAGAGCCTTCATTTCATCTTCCATGGCTTGTCGCCATCCAGGATGAGCAAGAGCTTCAGCAACATTACTGGGCACAGAAATAGTGGACAAGGACGAGGCAAAGGTAGAAAAGGTAGGAGACAAACGAGCATATGATAAGAAATTGGATATGGGGTGATGAGTACGAAGACAAGAAGAAAGGTCAGAAAAGTGAGCATAGCGATCTACAGGATGACCAACACAAGAACGTGTACCTTTCCGAAGAGCAATGGGTGGATCAGGATCAGAGGATGGTGTCGCAACTGATGAAGGGACAGATGAATCAGATGTTTGTGGGACCGGTACTACCGTGGGAGGAGCTGCAGCACGTTTTATGATATGTGCGCTCGGCAAATTGAAATCCTGTTGATGGTGTTGGAGGTACAGAGAATGGAGGAAGTGCTGGGAGGACACACTCGCCACCTTCAGTAGTCATCGTAGGATCTGATTGAGTATCATAATAGGCTTGATCCTCAAAGAAAGTCACATCAGCTGACATAAACAGACGACGACGAGTAGGACTATAGCATTTATAGCCCTTTTGAGTTCGAGAATACCCTACAAAGACACATTTCTCGGCACGAGAATCTAATTTATCAAGACCCGGAGAAAGACGATGAACAAAGCAAATGCAACCGAAGACATGTAAAGGTAATGCCAAGGGAGGAAGGTTTGGATGTAAATCAGAAAATGGTGTCTCCCCCTGAAGAACAGAGGTTGGAAGTCGATTAATCAAGTAACATGCTGTAAGTACAGCATGGCCCCAAAAATGTTTAGGAAGATGCATATGAAACATAAGACAACGAGCAACATCAAGAAGATGACGATTTTTGCGTTCGGCTACACCATTTTGCTGTGGAGTGTATCAACACGATGTTTGATGAAGAATACCATGAGATTCAAGAAAGGATCGAAAACCAGTAGAGGAGGCAAGATATTCTTTAGCATTATCTGATCGCAAAGTTTTAATAGATGCATTATACTGATTCAATACTTCAAAGTAAAATAGGCGAAAGCAATGAAAAATCTCAGTACGATCTTTTGTTAAGAACAACCATGTCATTCGAGAAAAATCATCCACGAATGTAACAAAGTATCTAAAACCAGAAGTATCAGAAACACGACACGGACCCCAAACATCTGAGTGAACTAACTCAAATGGACTAGACACACGACTCTGAAAACGAGAAGGAAAAGAAGTCCTATGATGTTTACCAAACTGACAAGCTTCACATTGAAAAGTACTCACAGACTCAGACTTAGGAAATAAACGTCGAAGAATGTTCGGTGGTGGATGACCAGCACGACAATGCATTCGATACACATCAGAGAATGTGCGCTTCACAGCTGCAGCAGCCATTATTTCCTTGTCAAGATAGTACAGGCCATTTGATTCATGTCCCCCACCAATCATCTGTCCAGTCCTCAGATCCTG